TTTTGGGTCACTTCGGTGCGGCCTTCGCGGGTTTGGGTGCGTGTTCACTTTTCCTTCATTTGTTGTAGATACTGATTCCCGGACAAGTCTCCATTCGAGCATACGGAGCTCAAGACGCCTTCAGGAAAGAGTCATCGCTACGGGTTGATCGCTACACTAGAATGTCCAGAGCGTTTTACAATCTGAATAGGTGGGCTAGCATGACCTTTTGATATGACATGTACTCAGCGAGAACAGATGGGTATTCATTCGCACAGATTCCCTTGCTGCTCTGTTCTCCGCCAGTCTTGGCGCATATCTCGTATATAGCGGAAGTGCAACAGCGTCTGATACCGGGTTCTCGTTGAGTATGGCAGGTATGTGAACGTTAGGTCCGCCAGATTGTGATTTGGTTTTCTTGAGCTTGTTGTAGTCGGTTTCAGTAGCTATATCTTGTACGCCGTGCGCATGTTCAACGAATTTGAGGTTTCCGGTGGGCATTGAGTCATCACCGTTCTTTTTGTAAATTTTGATCTCTTTTCACAGGCAATAGGTATGCATGGATGCACATCACCTTCTCATTGAGCTGACACTCGTATCTAGTTTGGAGCGTATACAACAGTATATGGAGATCGAGCAGGAGGAAAAACCCACTGAGAACGGAGTTCCGCCTGCTTACTGGCCCGCAAGTGGTGACTTGAAGGTCGAAAAGCTGTCTGCACGATACTCCTCAGTACGCCTTCGGTAATGTCTATAATCATAGGTAGTTATCTAACTGCCGACAGGATGGGCCGCGTGTGTTGGAGAATGTGTCTTTCGAGGTGAAATCTGGCGAGCGCGTTGGAATTGGTAAGCTTTTTTTTAAATACGAGAATGCGCTATAGGCTCATGAAATCAAGTGGGACGAACCGGAAGCGGAAAAGTATGTCCTTATTTCCCCCTGATGGTCCTCTTTCTCATGCAAGACGACAGAGCTCTTTGACTTTAGCTTTGCTACGGTGCATCCTCACCGAAGGCAGGGTATATTACGATGGTCTCCCTACGGATCAGATCAATTTAGATGCGCTAAGGTCAAGTGTAACAATCATTCCTCAGGTTGTAAGTCGCTTGTAGCACTTTTGACAGCATCTGGCTCACAGAGAATGGAACATGAAGCCAGAACTCCTGAGTGGGACGTTGCGCCAGAATTTGGATCCGTTCGGGCAATACGACGATGCAGTCCTGAACGACGCTCTCCGTTCCGCTGGTCTCTTCTCTCTACAGAATGACTCGGACGAAAGCCGCATCACTTTGGACAGCCAGATCGCGAGCGGAGGCAGCAATCTGTCTGTTGGTCAAAGACAAATCCTTGCGCTTGCGAGAGCAATCCTCAGGCAGAGTAAACTGTTGATATTGGACGAAGGTGCGTGCTGTCAACAAACGGGAGGAATCTGACTGATATAAAATCATGTGAACAGCTACATCGGCTATCGGTAGGATGCGTGAGACTGGTGTATTGCGCTGATTGTTAACCACTCCCTTGTTAGATTATGCTACGGACGCCGTCATTCAAGCCTCTCTTCGCAGAGAGATGGTTCGTGGCGTGACTGTCCTGACCGTAGCGCATCGCTTGCAAACTGTTATGGATGCGGATAAGATCGTAAGTGAAAGCGCGCTGGTTTATGTCCGCACCTTGCTAAAATAGATCCATTCATTCTATTTTGAACTCCAGATGGTTCTGGATGCTGGCCGGATCGTAAGTTCAAGATTTTGATGTCATTGTACGACTGATAACTGAACATATTCAGGTTGAGTTCGGTAAGCCGACTGAATTGCTTGAAAATAAAAATGGCATGCTCCGTGCTCTGGTAGAGGAAAGTGGAGATAAAGCTAGTCTGTTGGCTATGGCCGCTGGTCACGGTGCTCAATCCTCTGTATGAGTCCGATGCTTACGCGTACAGCCTCGTTGTGTTATTCCTTGCAACTTGTTTTCGTCATTATTATTTCGTCACTACGTTTGGTACGACTTGATCAATGGTCGCGAAATGCATGAGTAGCGAAAACGGTGATCGCGAGCACATCGGACACTCGGAAGCGCTCGGAACGCTGTCTCGGGTCCTGTTTAGGCAAGTGATTAAGGCTGTTGCCACACAAATGACAAACAACCGCTCCCCGACTCGGGCCAATTCGTCGTCGCTCAGACTCGTCCATGGCCCGGCTCCTCTCGGACTGCTTTCGGATGTCCAATTCTGCCTCCTATCAATACAATCTCCACACTCGAATCTGCGCTACCGGAACTGCTGGCCAGTGGACACGGCTCCATTAGGGGTCGACTGGGTAATGTGCGTCGCTACTCCGTCCGACTTTAGTTCGGAAGCAGCCCTCGCACGGATTCGACGAGAAGATTTTCAATACGTCTCGTTTAGTTACGATAGCCTTTTTCATTCGCCAGATCGGTAACTTTGCTGCTCTGATGTCGGGTCTCGTCCACTAAAGGCAAAAGCCGTCCGTGGTCTCCGACCAACAATGGCCATGCTACCTGGACCCCGACAGTACCTCCACAGGTAACTCGGCATACAGCCTCATATACTAGAGGAACTCTCCGGGAATCATGACGTTGCAACATTCTCTTGATTCTAGCTGATGCTAAACCCAGGGTCGCGAGGAGCTCAACCGGGCCGTCCAGCTTAAGTACCGGCTCTCCCAACTTCACTATGTTGTGTTTACGTTTTCACTCCTACATCAGTCCCTTGCACACACATAGACAAGCCCTCAATCTAACTGGGGATATCAATACTTCCTCTGCTCCCGCGTTTCTTCTTGCAGATGTTCACATCTCTATTCCACTGCAGATCACTAGAACACTGTTTGTATCTCCAAAGTACCATAACTTAGCCAACAATCGTAGTAGATGAATTGTTTTGATCCAAGTCTAATCCCATGTATATATTTTCTTTGTAGGTCTTCCTCCTGACAATATTAACTGGTGTCATGCCTGCAGCTCGTAGGTTGTCTATTGTTGGATTCTCCACCCGTCCAACGATCTCTCGCAGCTCATACTGCTTTGAGATGAGCCAAGCAAGGTCAAGGATACCAAATGATTGCACAGCAATGTCGTCGTCGCGCTTGCCACGGGTCAATAGAACTGATAGGACCAACAGCACAAAAGACGCTGCAAGTCCCATGGAGATCTTGTGTATTATTCAGTATGTAGTGAAATGCGAATACCAGTTGGAATGATAAACGTACTGGTAGGATATTCAGCTGTTCATCAAGCGATGACCGTCAAGGCAAGCGCTATCGACTTGAAAGGCACTGACTCACATTCAGACGTGCTGCCAGTTGAGTAACAACTACACTCCCATTTACCACACTGAAGAGACCATTGTTAGCTAAATTTAGTTGCTGCATGCCCATTTGGTAGCTTCGCATGCTTGGTAAAATCCTGGATTCTGTAGAATGATCATATTCAGACACAGCGTCGAAGCCTGAACACCGACTTGACGTACCTGCCCAGTATAATGATGCTGTGAGGTTTGCTATACGATGTGTGGCATTTTCATAGTCAAACTGGAGCCAGCTTCAGATAGGTGACCATTGTGCACATACCCAATGCATTCTCGAATCGATCAAGAGTAACCGTAGTCTGTATGGAAGTACCAGGAAACAGGCCAACTGATTCCATGAGATTCCTGTTATTCCCCCATTAGGGCTACTATATCAGAGATCGCGCAAAATACCATACTGCTCAACAATGTCAGGTGCATTGTTGGTGTAGCCACTACCGTCCAAAAATGATTCTTGCCCATAGAATGTGCCGAGACCTAGCCACTCCGGTGCATTATTGAACATGGCTGCCCACTTGAACAACAAAAAAAACATGTATCAGTCGAGACTGAACTACCATCTGCGGACAAATGCACGTTTTACCAGGTCGACATGCTGATCCGCAAGGCTAAACCCCAGTGCTGTACAGTCTCCGTATGGTTTCGTTGGTTCCCATGTATTCCATATTGAAGATAGTTTAGTACTACTCGGCTCCAAGCCGACTAGCTCATTGGTCTGCACATCAACGAGCGCTGTCTGCTGTGACCATGACAGAGTACATCCGATGAGGCTGATCTCATAAAGTAGCGTTGTATTGGAAATCACTAGACGCGCGCGATGATGATAAAATGACGTTTGTCCCAAACTGATTCCTACTCACATGGATAGTCCTTAGGAAAATTGACTGAGCTTTTGAAAGCTCCATTACTATCTGAGACGTTGGCTGATACAACAAATAGGATATCGCGCCCTTGTGGACAATTCTATGTCAAAAATAGTGAGCTGTGAGGATGGGGAACCTCGCAAAATACAAACCGTTGAGACGCCGCTTCCTCCCAAATTCCAGCCCGACGACAGTTTTATGATGGTATTATTCACTAGAGGTGCTAGGTCATCCCAAAATTGAAGTATGCGGTACATGCTCCTTACACATCTGCGAGAATTCGAATGATACGCTGTACGAGTTATATACAGCTTCCACATTCCATGAATTAGCCACGGTGCCGAACATTGTTGTGTTCACTATGTTATTCTTGGTGGCCTGAATAGTTGTATTGGGTAGAAACCCACATGTCACGTTAGCGGACGTTGCATTTGTTTGAACCTCTCCGACTCCGTTATTCTTCGCCAAAACATCGTAAAGCGTGTTGTTGAATAGCCCCGGTGTCGACTGGCCACGCGTACCGGCGATATATGGCGCAAGCTCGTAAACCAATGGCCAGGCATATGTTTCAATGTTGTTCAAGGTTTGTCTAATATACTGAAGTCAGCTAGGTTCGAAGTAGGCGGCGTCTTCGAACATACTGGTCAGATACGTTTCCCAAAAACGTGGGCATGCTCCCAGCTGTGCTCACTATGAGAGTGCTGTCATTAAAAGGCTGCATCGAGAACAAAGACGGTGTAGTTGTATGCAGAATAGTGAAGCAGGAGAGATATATAATGACTCCCAGCGTTCCTAGTCCCGCGGAGACTGATCGAAGCTGTCTCCAGAGGGTAAGGGACGCCGATCCCAGTCCATTCCACGCGCTCCATTCATCATGAGATGCGGTGAGCGGCTGATACGTGCAGAGGATCCGCCTGAAGGCTAGCCTTTGAGTCAGGAGCAATAGTAATGCGGTGTAAAGCTGACGCATTTTTGTCAGTATCTTCATTCTGGGAGACTCCAAACTCACCAACATGGATATTTGTACGCCTAGTGTGAAATAATCAGAGACTCTGTTGCTATCCGTCAATGAGGTCACGACCATATGTTCCATATGTCGGCTCCAAACGACGAGCAAACTAATGTGGAATAAGAACAGTAGCACATGAAGTACGACGCAGTTGAAGCGTGGGGAACGGTAGCTCTTCAATTCGAGAGAGAACAAGCGCATAGCTGGGATGGAGGAGAGCTGGGTGAGCTGAATATGAGAGCGCTGTCAAAGTACTACATAAGTAGAATCCGGATCCCTTTGGATATCCCTCAGTCGGCAGAACAGTCAATCAACTTGATGGACACTTCTATGTACGTAAACAAGCTGTTATCAATACTCCTGGGCGATCGTGTTCTTGATACGGATGAAACAGTTTTCGGCGCCAACACCGTGTTCACGCTAAATACGGGACACATACATACCCACCGGGGTTGCATCTCAATCTCGGACCTCCCAAAGCATTTTCCTCCTCCCTTGCTTCTCACTTAAGATGTTTGTAGTTACGATCTACGAACGCGGCACTCCAACCCCAGGCAATGAGACTGAAACGGTAAAGATAGACTCACTGGACCAGATCAGAGAAATTCTCAAAAAGGACTAGTGTCAACAGCCCAGCGCTGAACCTACACTAAGCTGCGTGATCGGTCGCAGACAGCCACAAAGAGCTCTGACGAATCTTACTACCGCATACTTAGCGGTGTCAATCGAACAAAGCGGTAGCTAATAGCTCAATGACACGTACCTAGAGTTATCAATGTGATGTAGGCACGCGGACGAGCGGACGGCCGGCCGACGACAAGAATCTGTGGTAGTCATTACTTGGAAAAGAGGGGTATTTCCAATGTATACGATATAGAATTGAACAGCAAAGGACAGCAATACGATTAGCGTAGAACATCAGCGCGCCCACTTTCTCTAGTCACATGCCGAAGGCTCTGCCAGCTGAGCAGCGTTAAGTAAGAATCGCTTTACAACGATTTTGCCACGTTGCAAATTCGACAGTGAAATACGCTCGTCAGGCAAATGTGCTTGGTCCTATAGTTCGTGCTTCAGTATCATTTTGGAATCTCAGCATTAGGAACCGAATCCTACCGAACTCTGACCGAGAGGAAGATGGAGAGCATGACAAGAGAATTCCTTCTCAAGGTAGGGGATAGAAGGGATCGACTGTAGACAAAGTGTAAATACCAGAATGTTTGGAGTGAATGTCAGAAAGGATAGACTTGCCCCCCCTTCCCGAATACGTAGAGGTTCAACGCCCCATTCATCTCGCACAGCATCTTCAAGGGCACGGAACCACGCATCGTCCAAATTTCCGAGCCACCAATCGGCCGTACGGTCGATGTTTACCTAAAGCACAACATTTAGTATAAATTTGGTAAAAACAAAGTCGACGCACATGGAGTGTATTTAATGATTGCGATTGGGCGAAAGAGGCCTCTAGATATTCCCTCAGTGCGGTGGCTATGGCGTCCAAACCCTGATCTGGAACGATACGTATAGATACGTGCGCTTTCACCGTTGCGGGAATAACAGTCGAGTCTAAGGTCACATTTCACAATCAGTTGACATTTGAAATACTGATAATGTACCCACTTCGAGGGCCAGAGACCTCTACGCTGTGGATAGTCAACGATGGCTCGCGCCAACGCGATGCGAGAGATGATGCCGGTGTTCCCGTAAGTTTGGAAATTACTGTATACGACTGTTCCTCATCCGAGGCAAGGGGACGGACGCTGTCATCTAAAAATCGTGGCATCAGCATGCGCGGACGTATCGTGGGAGAAACATCATACAAAAGTTAGGGATTGTAACGCGCTTGTCCCCATCAATGAGTGTGCCTAGAATTTTCAGCCTCCACACGGCGTCCGCTCAAAATCCAATGAACGCAGGCCCGAAGAATGAGCTTACATATCCAGCATAGGCTCCGCTGCCGCACCTCCATCTACACCGGAATGGCGATCTGGCCCTTCGCTCGAGATCTATTCCGAACTACTTGAGGCAACGTGGCGCAAAAATCAGACAATAACATACCTCCACATTACAGTGCACGACGCCACGTAATCCATATGTAATACACGGCGTGTCTTCCGCAATCCATGTTGAATTGCTATAGCAGAATATATCGCATAATCCCACACGTGAGAGAGAGAAGCACTAACCTCACGAGGATGGCGTCTATCGGGCCAATCGCATCCTGGTCATGCAACGCGTGCAGATGAGCTAGGCATTGACCTCGATATATATATATATATAAACAAAACCGACCTTGTTCCTCCTTACTGCTTCCACGAACCCGCCACTACCCGCCTCCTCCTCACCTTCAATCAACATCACCAAATCTAACTCCAACGCACGTCGACTGAGTAAATCTGCTGCAGCACACGCAACAGCCATTATAGGACCTTTGTTGTCCGTCGCACCGCGGCCGTACAGATAGCCATTACGACCGGTGAGTGTGAACGGATCGGAGGACCATCCCCTCGCAGAGGCAGCGATCACGTCATAATGTCTGGATTTGTGGACTTCTTTAAAAGCAGACCTTATAGGACCATTCAGATCAACCTTACCCGTAAAACAATATACGCGGCCTCTTATGCATGGTCTGAGTGCCGTGGAAAGTCCCAAGAACCAATGGATTTGTACCTTCACCCGTTGCTAGCTGTCCGGTGACACATTAGAGAAATGGTCTACAGCTCCGGAAAATGACGCTGCCCACCAATGATGCTTCTGCTCCAAGCTGAGTGAAGCACTTTCGCAGCCAAATGGCGGCCTGGCGACAATCTTCGCGGTGCACGCAAGAATTGCTCACACTAGGAATAGATACAAACTTCGACAGCGCATATACCATGGTCTCTGACGATGCAGGTTGTACGAAATCAAACTTTCACAAGTCTTTGACGAACTCACCGACATCACAGTCGCTCAAATCCAGTCCCGCATCTGTCAGGACAGACAGTCGACCATGCTTCGGTGGTTCCGGTGGCTGGATCTCCCACAGCTTCCGGCCACAGCCGTCAGCACAAATCTCGCCAGCCAGCCATAGAGCTTGCCTTGATCTGGTCGTCATTTGCTCCAGTTATCAAAGCGAACTTTGCATTCTGGGGGTCGTTGTCGGTGGTTGCTGCGGATGGAGAGGCCCATGAAGAATATGTCACTGTCGACGAGAGCACGATTCCCTCATGTGCTTTCCAAGACGCGGTGAGGTCGAACGCTGCCGACCATCGCTGTCGCTCATCAGTTTGCACCTTCTCATCTCAAAGAAAAGGCACCAACTTGGAGCTCTCCATTCGCCGAACTCACGTATAGATCCGAATGCAGCATTGACATAGATAGAATGTCTACATTCTACAGGAACACTGGTCAGCAAACGCGAATTATGGGAAGGAATAATGCGCACTTCAACTATTATCAGACTTCGTATGAGCGTTCGCGTCTCCAGATCCCAGACCTTGACATGACCATCTTGGCAGCCCGCGAAGACAGTCTCACTCCGCGCTACCAGCGCGAGAACAGCACCGCTTGCGCATTCAAACGTGTGCTGTAAGCTTGGCACAGGGTTTCCCACAGACAATGCCCACAGCTACTCAATGCAGAACGAGCACAGATCAGCGGCACGCATGACAATCACGAGAATGATGCAAAGACGCACCTTAACAGTCTCGTCTCCACTACCTGTCACTAGCTGCAGATTCCGTCGCCCTCCGTCGGCTTCGGAGCCGAATGGGACATGATCAGATCCTTCCCGCAGACTGGGTACAAGTGACATGCAATATACATAACCATAATGCGCGGAGTAGATGACATTCGGCGGTGGCACTTGCAGCACAGCAAGAGGACGATAAATCGGGTCATTCCGAAGTTGTTTGGGGATACTAGATGGCGAACCAGATGTGCTAGGCAAAGAAGAAGATGTGAGTGGGGGAGTTGGAGGAAGTGAGCCCTGCGACGATGAGGAACATGTAGGATTTCTAGCATTCAGATCAGCGGGACGTCGAGTATACTGTGGATAACTGTCGAAAAACTTGTGTACGCGGCGTGAAGTCGGAGTGGACCAGCCATTTGCAGGCGGCGAGTCAGAATCATGGGAAGAAGATGCAGATATGGGAAGCGGAAGAACGGATGCATGGAATGTGAACCATTGAAGAGATGTGTCCTGGCATCCTATGTATAGCGTCTGATTAATCGGACACCAAGCCAAGGAGAAGAGGTCTCCGGCGTCAGTCTCTCCATGGGGGTTGATAACATAGAGTGGTAACAGAGTTCGTGTGCTCCATACCTAAAGACAGCGACAGTATGAGTAGTAAACTTGGAATATAAGTGGCAAGTACGATGCAGAAGAGCGGTGCATGAAATAAGCACACTGATCGTTGTGCCGGTTCATGACAGACCAAGACGTTCTGGTCTTCAAGATCGGTTTGTCCGACTAATCGGGATTATAAGACGGTATCTCTGGCGCTCCGGATTCCCGGCATCAACAGCACTGAGAGCGTCCCGACGGTACCGCAGGCTATCAAAGCCGGAAGTTCCAACATATATCTTGTCACGTCGTCTATGCATACCAGAGACAATATTGCGCAACTTGATCGGCTGCCGCGCCTAAGATGGATCAAGAGATAGAAAACGCGCCAAGAGTGTTGAATACAGATTGCCCGGAGTGCTCAGACGCATCCTCGGCGCTCACGAACTAAATGGAAACAGAATGCAAGTTCTTGCATATGCAGAGAAGAAACTTACGCGAACGGTACTATCTCCTAGTGCAGAAGAGACCGTAGTTAGAATAAGGGCGGGAAGGATGGGAAAGCAGGACGTACCGGATGCGCTGAAGAGCCATTCCTTGTCTGCGGCGTACTCGAGGGCAAGGATGCTGCCAGTGTGCCCCTTGAGCGTAGTCTTCAGCTTGAGGGTGCGCTTGTCCCAAACCTATAACCGCATGACAATGCTTGAGTGTTCAATAAACCAATGTGATGCCTCGCTAAAGCCATGACTGACACAAATATCGCCACTCTGACTTCCGTTATAAATATGACTCGCGTCGGCGGCAAGGCTAAGGACGGAATGTTGTTCATCTTGTCGAAGAGTGTGGAACAGCGTTGGGGGTCGCTCAACGACATCTACGGGCCTGCTGAGCGATGCTGCCTCATGGCGACCATGCGTAAGCTCAAGCGGTGGGGGGTCGGACGCAAGGGGACACATGAGGACGTACGATGTGGTATGGTCGGGCTGGCCGGAGGTATGAGCATTTATCGGAAAGGTGGTGCGAAGGGGCGGCGGCAATGGCAGGTCGGAAATGCGAGGTGACAGATTGGGTGTAGAATGGAAATATTCGCGGACGGGGAATAGCTCCTCGTCGTCCTGCTCGGTTCTACACTCCGCTAGCCCCCGCAGACGCGCATACGCTTGGGCACGCGACCGCGCGTAGCCGCGCCATTCTCTCCTCATCTTGTCTCACCCCTGCTCAGCGTCCTGTAGCTTCGTGCGCGTTATACAACCACACATCATCTTGGAAGCCTTCGAGGCTTTCAAATAACGTTTTAAGCCAGCTACATCGAGCCCGAAGGCTCTGCAATGGTGCTAGCAACTCCCAGCGTTACGTACTCCAGACATCCTCGTAGTGCGGCTTCAACGTCTGCCGGACGTATCAGACGTGTCCAGTTTCTTATCACCATGATCGTATCTCCGGGGTTACTGCAGATGAGACAACAGATGCTAAGTTCAAGTGCTGTTTACCCCGGGGTCACCACACAATTTACTTGTATAGAATCTCATCAAGAGGATTTATGGAGCGCATGCACTGCCGAATCCTCCGTCCAATCCCCTCCCATGGTGGTATCTCCACGGCGTAAGTGACGGGCCACGATTTACATTCGCGTTCTTCGCCGTCCTGTCAATGTCTTCTAGGATATCTTTGCAACCTACCGTAGGCGTCATATCATCGCTGGAAATGTGTCTGGTCACAGAAGTACGCCATCTTGACAACATTGTCCACTCATATTACGTTTTCAGCGTCATTAATCCGGTATCTGCAGGACATAAGTAGGGGCCTGAATCAAACAGTCGAAACCCAAGCTGACATGATGATCTTCATCGACTGATATGTCCACTCGCCTTGTCCATCGATTACGATTGCGGCTACAGTAAGGACGGTTCCAGTTCCTTCTTGTACCTGTTCAAGCTTGCGAAGTTGCGCGATGAGCTTCTCGGAGGATTCAGCGATCCTCAAGGACTCAGGGTCGATGATTCTGACTCTATTGTCTTCCAGACAGTCAATCATAGGTAAAGACAGCGGCCAGTATCACCGTGCACCGTGCCCCATTCTGCAGGGACATCTGGGTGTCCTAGGTATCTATATCAGACTTTACAAGTCGAGTCGCTTTCCAGACAATCCCCTTCCTATAGCCCACGTGGGAAACATTCAATTCAATCGGATGTCCCCAGGGCTTGAAGCGACGCATCCCCGTGATTTCCATCCGTTCAGGGCACCATGACGCACGGGTGTACTTAGGTATACTCCGCACTAAGTCGGTGCTATCATCCGGGGCGGGTGTAAAGGTGGAATATCCCCTTCAGTTCTCCTGCCTGAGATTTTTCACACTAGTCCGTGTGTATATTTCCTGACATCTTGAGATTCCAAATTTATCACTTGCATAGGATGCATAAATTGGAAATGATTGTTTAGATTCTGTATGCGCGTTTCGGAGTCCAACATTGACAATAAGCGAAAGATATCTTCTGAACGCGGGCTCTTCTGAGGACGAAGACTGATGATATGTGCGCACTATTGAATATATATGCACCACTAGATAAAAGGCGCGTCATCGATAGATCAGGCCTCTGACTCGTGATCGTGTAACAAAGGAATTTCAACGCACGAGCATATACTATCACTGAGTATACTATCACTGTGAGTCGGACACTACTTAGCGGAAACCCAGCGTTATGAATCAGTTATCGGCCAAGAAACATCAAATGCGCACCTGCCGTACTCGAAGTACCGTTTTTGAGCTTGAGAATCAGAGCTGTGAAGAGCGTCGCGAAGACGCCTCAAGATTGGAAAAAATTACAATAGAAGCTCTTTTCGGAGAGTGCCACAAAGGACAGCCCTCATCGCACGGCGCTTGGCAAGCACACTCTCGAAGAATGCAGGACCACGCTTCTTCCCCCGCATACGCTGCCAGTCTCAGAGAGACTTACAGTCACGCACGTTTCCCCAGCCCCTGCTCCACGTACTTCCCCTAGCGCCCGGAAGCTTCAAGGTTTCCATCCATCCATACTCGGCCGACACGATTCTGCCTCGCCCCGAGGGGCACCAGAAATGTGTTCCGCGGCGGAGGCTAGCATCTCCAAGACATGCAATGGCCCACGAGCATCAACGACTCTCTCTCATGGAAGCCCACGCCCAGGTCTCGCTCGCAGCCTCCGAGCTCACCTGCAAGTCCGCTCTGTCATTCTGTATGTATGCACCGGACAGCGCTCGCACATTGGCGAACGCGTATGCAAGGCTCTCACCAGCAAACCTACTCTTCACCCGCAAGAAACCTCGCGCCCGCACCAGACACCTGCTGCCAGGGAACCCTGCCTGAAAGCCGACTGCACTACCGAATCCACCACAAAGTGATGCACCAACACCGCAGACGAGAACGAATCTCTGTTGCGACAAGGCCACCAGAAGGTGACCTCTTTTCCCATAGGAGTCGCAACTTGAGTGAGGGTGGGAGGAGCCTAAAAGCCGTCAAGCCGTCCTTTGCAGAGACCTGTTTCGGGGGAAGCGACAATACGAGCAGTACCAGTTGCCAGGTCATTGAAGCCAAGCTCAGCGATCACGAAATGGAGCCCTCTGAGCCAACCGATGCATAAGATGAGCAGGAACAAACTAGGCATTGAAAGCTCGAGGAGACCGGTCTCCGCAAGGTAGCCTGAGAAGTGAGAGCGCCGGAGATGTCTAGAGCTTGAGCAAGTGTCCTGGTCGGGCACTGATACCAGTCTAGCACACCACAACAAATCAGAGATCAGAACGAAACAGCTCGAGCAGAATGGGGGCTGAGGTGCAGCTGCGCAACGGGCTTCGTAGCCACCTTCTTGTAATAGAAGAGTAGAGGTTGGGGGAGGCCGGACAAGCACGAAAGAACTATACGGATGGCGGACAAACCACCACCGTACACCCGTCCAATCTACCATGCAAGCTACTAGGCCCAACAAATCAAACGTCTCTCTTCAGTCGCTGTCCGAGCGCACCTGTACCCTAGATCACCTCCACAAGTCACCGACACTGAGACGTTCGTACGCGCCTTCCTGTTCAACCCCTTGATGTCCAAGCTACCGCACACATTACTCCAAATCCCAAAGACCAGGTCGCTGCGAAGCCATGCAGTTTCGCTGCGCTAGCCAACGCTTCTAGGCTCCAACACTCATCCTGCTGCTCTTGGATGAAGCAGCGGAAATAAGAGCAGCCTACGGCAAGCAGAAATCTGCGCAAATCTTGCCGGGATCAGCCAGACCCTGCAACCTGGCTCCGAGGTGAGTCAGAAGACTCGGACTGTCCAAAGCCCTGTGCGTCGAGCTCGTAAAAGAAGCGGATGATGGAAAGGTGACTACTCGGACGCCAGCCGCATCATAAGAACACAAATCATCGAAAACGAACGTGACGAGCAATGTTGGGCGGGAAAGACCTGTGGGGGTCTATGCGTATCCCATCTCCTGGATTGCAATACCAAGACCCCGTCATCAAAGTATACGTGGCTTGCTCGCTCTTCCCTTAGGGCACCCTAGGACCGCGACGCTACTCTGGTGCCTAGTCCGGAATCCATGAATTTCACAGGCGAGATCTCGCGCTTTCCGGCGCCACCTTCCCGAACCCAATACGTGGAAGTATACACAACGTGCAACTTCCCGTGTGTACAGCTGAGCGTGTCCATGTAGAGGGAAAGGGGTCCCGAGGTAGTGCTAGCGGAGATCTGTGCGTGTTGCCTGTCGGAAAGACAATGAATTGGGATCCGAGCATAGTACACTTTCTGGAGATGCGATGAGGGATGCACGGTACGGAGGTCGTCGCAAGAAATTTCCCCGAGAAACAGGGAGTATGTGCAATCAAGGTATCACGTTGAAATCAGACGATTAATGAAGTGCACCTATCTCGACCGGGTCGTGCGACCAGTCATATAGGCACAATTGCTCCGAATGCCGCACCCAACACAAACATGCACTTCTAGAGCGAAGAAAAGCAAAGGACAGCCCCGCAAACACTTAGGGTTAGATTTCGCTCCAGGTTAGGAGGTGGATCATGTTGGCTGGAAGCAGCAGTTTGGCCAATGGGGGAGGGTGCGTTTGGTTGCATGGACGGGGACCTGGAGCGATGATGGCCATCGAAAGGACGCGTAATTCGGCCTCGGAAGGATGATCTTGTGGTCGGAGGAGACCCATGGAGTGCAACGGAGTGGCGAATGTCGTCGTCGAGATGCGAAGTGTTGTTGTGGCAGGCAGTTCATGTCGACGACTATAACACGTCCATCGGAGTTTCAATTCCGGAGACTGCCGCCGCTCTCAACGCGCGCGACGCGATCACATGTATTGAGATCCTCAGTGACGGTGACAACGTGACTGAGTTACCTGCTCAATCCTGCTTTACCCTCTTCTCTTGGGCACAGCCGGAGTTCTCCTTTGTAGCGTTGTCAGCAAACCGGGGACATGGCACTCCATATGAGCACGGTTGTCACCAAGAAAGCTTCAGATATCATTGCACACCTAGCACGAGTCCGTCCTTTAATATCCGCTCATATTCCTCTTTTCACGCTGTCGGCAACGGCTGATACGGATCCAGGCGAGCTTTCTGGTCTTGTTTCCCAGCTACAGTCGCTATCAGATCGTTCAGTTGGCTGTCTTTCTGCTCCCATCCCTTCACGCAGTGATAGTTTTAATGGAGCGTTTGCTTGCTCCTTGGCGATTTTTGACTTCGCAAGAGCGACCAGCTTTAGGAGTAATATACCAGGCCGACCGATCACGCAAGTCGGGCGTTGGCACGCGTTTAGAAAAGATACAACTAGAACGACGGAAGCAGAGAAACTGGGAAGTGCTTTAGGCGGTACAGATTTATGGTCTTTGAGAATGAATAGCAGATCTCTCCCGGTTGAATTGCAGGCGCTCGAGTGAGTACCGTCTACATCGCTCCGGGGACTTGACGCGCACCTATAAAGGAGGGCTGATACGATAGACACCGTTGTGTACTTTACCGACGGCTCATCGGAAGGTCTGGTTGATGCGTTTCGCTTTTTCCCTTCAGCTACAAGCGTTGGTAAGTGCGCAAAACATTTGCAATGAATTCTCTCATCTCATCACTTTCTCAGGCCTGGTCGCGACGTCAACGCCGTTTGTAACTGGTCGGCCATATACGCTCTTCCATGGCAGCGCTGTACATTCTTCAGGTGCCGTTGGAGTTTGTCTGAATTCGCCAAAACAACCTACCTTCCATACCAACTTTCCTGGATTACAGGCCTTAACAAAAGCAATGTTTGTTACAGAGTATGCCATGGTGACAGTCATTAAAATCAGTGTGATTTTGAAATTAAATGATTTTGTTGTTTTTCTGCAGGTCAGAAGGAAACCTGATACATTCTCTTGATAATATGAATCCGACCAGATTGTTGCTCTCCGCTATTCAGCAACGTAACGGTCAACCAGGATCCGACGGTCAATCAGGATCCGCTCTGGACTTCCAGCTCATTACAAAAGACGATCTGTTCTTTGTGGGCACAATTCGTGACAACGGCAGTGATTCAGAGGCAAGTGTTGGAGCTTGAAAAGAATATCATTCTAATGTACTGTATTTAGGTCTTTCAGTTGTATCACATAACGTCTGGTGATCCTTCTCGAGGGACGTTTGCAATTGAAAGTGAATTTGCCCCCACTCCAGGCATGCTTGTACAGGTTCGCTTCCCATCGGCTGCATCTGGGCGCATTCTGAAATTGTCGCTGTAGCTCTATCATCTCCCCAGAGGCTCTGTACCAGATGTACTTTCCAGATATCTACCGGCCAGTTTTTCAAGTCCAGCGAGCCGTAAGATGTCATTTTCCATGTCTCCGCCTGACGTCTTGTCTCTTGATGAGATATCCGAAGTTGGACCAGAAACAATTGTCATCGATGATACATTCCTGGTCGCGTCAGAAAATGGAGTTGTCATAGGCCGCCAAGGAGGTGACCCTTCCACGAGAGAGCGTCCATGGACCTGCAAGGTACCGGGAGGCGAGATTGACCTTCGATGGGCCCTTCGTTGAATGAGCGCCTAGCTCAGCTACGCGGCGATTATGTTTATACACACCTGATTCTTATACAAATTACGAGTAATGATGAAACAGGAATTCTTAGTAGCGAAAGGCGAGCTAGGTTTTAACATGAAGAATGCGAGGTCCACAAAAGCCAGGTGAGTACGTAGACCGTCACATTCTCGATGACGAAGTTATATCACAAGCGGACAGTGATACACTGTATGAAGATGAATCACATCACTATCTCCGGGCATTATCGTGTGGCGCACAGAGCGTTGTGGATTCAAATTTCTTTCGATGAGGTCCGCACGCGATAATGATGGTGGCATTTTGACCACGGTATTTGTACGGACAAAGCAAACCTTGGTCAAAGCGCAGATCATCAACACGTTACAACGTAGTGTGGTCAAAGAGCGGTTGGTATATAAACTATCACAACATACCCCTCACTCTTCGAACAATGACAGCATCCGTACTCGACGCGAAAACGTTAGAAGATTTGATCTCTAAGTTGTCAATAGAGACTCAAGGTCTGATCAACATGTCAGTCGATTGCATTAGGTAAGTTTGAGTTATAATGGAGTTACACATATCTGAACGGGTATTCCCCCGCTACAGTGCACACCAAGACCATGTTTCCCCCCAATTGATTCATATCGACATGAGGCTCTACCAGGCACTGAAGAAAATCCGAACTGCCCGCACCAGCCTGTCTCTGATCAACCGCCTATGTCCAGAGATGCTCTGTATGATATTCTCTGAAGTGATACGCTGATCCTCTTCACAGGAGCACACAGCTCGTAAGCTATTCAAGATCATTACTGTGTGTAGTCTCTGGAAACAGATTGCGATATCCTGCCCTTCCTTCTGGTCGACTGTCACCATCTCGGAGGACGTACCTCCCAGTCACGTTTCTCAAAAGTTGAAAGGGTCTAATCCTCCTCATTGCGCGCGTTCTTTCGTGGAGGAACGAATATACTGCCCCGTTGCATAGAGGAGATGTATCGGATACAGAGCTTACATATGATACTTAATTCTGACGAGCTTTCCCCTCCTGATTTACTCTATACACGTGCCCCAGTCCTGGAGGTCCTTCATCTGGACATGGCAATTGGCACTTTCTCCAGGTCAGCCAGAATCGTTGCCCAAACTGTTTAACGGGGAAGCATTTCGCTTGAGACGACTGTTTCTTGGATAGCACGCTCCGTGGCCGGACAATCGCTTTCCAAATCTCACCCATCTCTACCTCCTTCATGAAGCTAGCCTGTCAAATCCACGGAAATTCTTAGACTTTATAGATGCGAGTCCGAACCTGGAGGAAGTCGTTTTCGAAAGCGCGAGACCATCCGTTCATCCAGGCCGCTGGCTCTCATCCCGCAGAGTTTCCATGCCACGTCTGCACCAGTTCCACTTCAACGATTGCCACTGGACTACAGCTGCTTGCGTCATTCATAATCTCGTACTTTTCAATAATGCCACGGTGCGAATATCAGAAGCACAAGAACTGACGTGCGGTCGCAATCTCTTCAACCTCTCTGAGGAAGCAGGCTTCCTTCAGAATTTCAGGAAACCCACCTCATTAGCCCTCTCATTTGATGGCGACCAATTCGCTATGGTTTCCGCTAACTCAACAGGTTCCATTACATTCGACCTGAACCTGGACCCCTGCTGGCGGCCAATGTCTATCAGAGCATAAATTCGGCGCTGGCGGCGGCTCTCCCAAGGATTATAGAGCTTGTTCAAGTCGAGGACCTCAAGCTGCATATAAGCTGCGACTCGAACTTCTCCATGTGCAAACTTGGTGCGCAATTCTCTCGTGCGCATGGTTTCCGTCCAATCGTGCACAATCGAACTCGACATCGAATTAGATCGCCGATACTAGAGCCCATGCCTGTCAATCAAACAGAATGTTCCGTTGCCGAGCCTCCAGTCGTTGCACTTCATTGGCAAGTTTCCGACCTCCTGGAAGCCAACTTGGATCTTAGGACTTGTGGTCAGTCGTGCTAAGCGGTGGTGTCTATTACGTCGACTCACTTGCTTAGCTGAACCTTCCCGTTCTATCCCTGCTTTCGTGCATTGAGACGCAGCTACCCTCAAGCTGGGCAGCTACTGCGTCCTCGACTGTGTGGATGAACTTCACTTTGAAGAGGCTAGTCGTTCTCCACTAGGACAGTTTCCTACGTATACTATTTTATGGAATGGTTCTATCTAGCTCGCTTGGTGGCTGCGTGTTACCAGACAAACAAAGTGACGACTGTAGTACTATACCTTGTTTAATTTGTGAATAGTCCGCACATTGTATGTCGTATTGCAAAACACTGATCTTGCTAGACGACGTATGCATGTAGTGAATTACTTATCTTGTTTGACTTTGAGGACGCGGGCGCTTATATATGTACCTGAATGTGACAAGTTTAGCCGGCTTAACTGCCCTCCCGTCTCTGGTCTCCCCTGGTTTTCCATCGCCAGCGGGGTGAGGAATTGCCTCATGCGTTGTCAGTATCTCTCAGTGCTTGATGGCTAGACATACCATCGCATACTTCTTCAGGAGGCGAATAATCCTTGCTACAGCCCTATCGCTCACCCTCTTCCTCCTGCTGGTCTCTCTCGGTTTCATAGATGTCGACTTTTCAACACCGGTGGTCATCTCAAATTCATACATACCTTTCGAGCCCCCATTGCCACTACCACTGTCGTCAAAACCATGCATTGCGCCTGTTAGCGATCTCCCCTTGACTTGCCTTGACGCCCATTTTACAAATGGCGAGACTTGCTATGCAGAAGGCACCCTCCCACCCGTTTTGGATGTCCTATGGACATGGGTGAATGGTTCCGACTATCTTTTGGACGAGGCGAAGAGGATTGCGCAGAGTAGATATAGTCCAGATGATCCAGATAGGCCTTCGAGGTCATTAACGCAGGCGAGGCTATATCGGTGAGTGGGACTATTATATGATATTCACACCATATATTCATACAGCGTATAATATTCTAGTGACCATGATGAGCTGAGATACTCGATGCGTTCCGTTCTTCAGAACTTTCGAAATTACGCTGGCCGCTTCCATCTCCTCACCGCCGACTTTCCTATGCCGAACGCGATGGCGGAGAGCTACAATGTTACCACTCCAGAATCTTGGCGAGTGGGACAGATCCCCCAGTGGCTTGACTTGAACAAACGGACGACGGCAGGCAATTGGAACGACAGGCGTATAGACCTTTCGGTCAAGCATCATGCGCAAGTCTTCAAGCCATATGATGGTACCAACTTCAACAGGTACATATATAATTGCAACACTAGATATCCTTATTCACGGAACTGTGCAGTCTAGCAATCGAATCGCAGTTTGGTCATCTAGGAGATATTTCTGAGTTCTTGTAAGTGACCCGCAGCTTCGTTATTCCAATCTATCATTACATATTCCTTCTAGTATTTATATGGTCAGTGCGTAGAACACACAAATTGCGCCTCGGCCTCATTCTCCACGCGCTAGAACGACGATATTTTCATGATGAATCCGCTTTCGCCTGTCAGCTTCTACACCCCAGGTATCGTGCATCATTGCTCCAATTCTAGCTCATGCTTAATGTTTCACATCAGCGTTCGGCGTCGTTTTACACTTGCAGTCGAATCTTCTTGTCCGCCCCGAGAGGCTCGCGGGCAAAAACCAAGGAGAATGGCGAAGTCTAGCCGAGAGCAACTTTCTGCTGAGTGCGCGTCTTTATATACGCACTTTAAAATAGCCTCACATTGGCCATACAATCAGGCAACCGCTTCGGCGCTCGCCATCGTCCTTATGTTGCCCACGAGGCTAAGACTGTATCTCGTGCGTTATTGCACGAGATGACCATGATGTGGCCAGAATCTTTCGCTCAAAGTGCTTTGCACCACTTCCGCGAAACGGAGGGCGGCGATGGCGACGTGAATGCAATGTTCATGCACTCGCACTTTGTCGTCGAACGTGCTCGCGAAGCGTTGTTATGGAGCTGGGTGGTTGCTCGGATTGGAAGCGACGACGATTTGTGGGGAGAAAAAGAAGCCACTCGAGCATGGACAGAGCTCGGCGGTGTGATTGGTGAGAAAGATTTGCTCGTCGTAGGTGGTTGGAGGGACACACTTGTCAAAAGCCGGGTTGAGAAAGAGCTGAAGGCAATGGGATTACAGCCACAAGTCCTGACCTCATATGTCTTCTGTAAGTTAGATATCTTGGCTACACTTCATTCGCACGTTAATTAATTTTGCCCCTCTTTCAGCCTCTCTGGATGGATATCCATACTCAGGTCTCGGTGTTGCCGGTGCACCAGACTGGCTGAAGTTCTCACCGGACGTTCCGGAAGGACAGCTACCCAGGTGCAGGATCTCTTACAGCGAGTGCTTTGTAGTTCCCGATTTTGAGGGTAATCCGAACCGCGCTTCTGATATCTTTAAGCATGTTGCATTTCGACAGTCGAAATGCGGAGATTGCAGTAAGTCATTTTGGCGCATGTTGTACACCAATATCGTTGACAATCTATGCCATACAGTCATCATGTCTCTTGTACATGCCAGTGGAAGACTAGGATTATCGGCATTTCTGCCTCCTCCAGGACGGAGAGATCTTACCAACTCGTTCGATGTATTAGAAGAACAAGTTCCTCATCTTCCCTTGGTTCACGATTGGCACGATGGCGACTTCGCGCTGCAGTCAGTGATACGCCCCAATCACGATGTGGATGTAAGAGTCTGGACTCTGCGACTACTGCAACGCTATCGTTATGTTTTAGGTGGATTGTCTTGTTCATCAGTCCGAAGTATAGAATCAAGGGCTGATAGACGCTTGTGTAATGCTGTAGGTGATACACCGTCGCTGTTTGAACGCATTGCTACGCCGCAACAAACAGCAAGAGTAATTGGTGGGATTGAGAATAGCAAGAATATTGCGTTGTTATGTATCAATGACGATGTGGCTCGGTTAGATCATGAAGTCTCATTGGTCTTGAAGGTATGGTTTGACCAACGATGGAAACATCCTGCTGCTTGGGAGAAGGGGTAACGACGGGTTCGGAAACAACTGTATACGAGAGGAAATTGATGTCTCCTTTCTGCGCGTACATTCGGTACTAGTGTAATGCCCTCTGTGCTGGTGCACTAGGTGGTAATATAACAGAGCTTGCACTAAGAGGAAGTCTTTGTCTGATCATGCTCGTATGAGCGTTGAAAAATCAACTTGGTGCCCGTGACTGACCTCAAGTTACTGTAGCCTGCAGATTGACTACAAAATCATCGGTGCAGCATATTCAGCAGGAAAGCCGGCCCCATTCAAATTCATCGACAATCACCCTCGACTCGATACCTGCGCAGACGCCTTGTGGCGCGCCGATCAGGATGTGATTGCATATGCGGATAGGCCTAAGTTTTTTATAATAACGTCAAAGTACTGTGATCAACTCCGGGAGATCACACATTGAGCACAAGCTATCATGCGCAACAATCGCATTTTTGGAACAAACTCCGCCACATATGCGCAATTCCGTGGAAGAAGCTTTTGACAACTGAATTAGCAATGCAACATGTGTATTTCTCAGCCGCACTGAATGTAAATACACCACCCTGAGACATACCCAATAGTCCTATGAAGCAGCTAATGTGTGACCAGTCTCTTCCCGCCATTGGCGCAACCATCCGTACTCTGTTCCCTGTTTACGCAAAGCCTTTTCAATTTTTGCTAATGTCCACGCAGTCCAAGCCTTCTCCTTAGCTTCGATTGGTGCGCACGCTGCGCCAGACGGGGGCAGTTGCATGGATTTCGGGTCGACCTTGGCCAAGAGATTCTTGAGATGGGGAACCATCTCGTTGGCAATTGCGAGAGAGTGAGTTGAATGGTGCTTAAAGCAAGCCGAAGTAAACATTGAGCACGCAACAAGGTCGGAGGATATTGGCGGGAGCTTGTACACTCGGAACAACGCCGCGAGCGTGATGGTGTCTTGCAGCGAATGTTCCACGTGCAAGGAATGCAACAACCGACGTGCAGCAGACAAGGTCAAATCAAAGCCATACTTCGGGTGATCACTGAAGACTTTCAAGGCGAGGGTTGGACACCGTAGCTGTTCACAGCGACCTATGAGACCCATGCTATTCAGAATAAGTCCAGACTTGAACGAACAGCAGCCAACTCACCGACGAATACCTCAACAGTATGTTTCCCAAACTGCCTCTTAGAATCTCTCCAGCGAGGGAGCAACCCTACAACCTCATCCATCTGTTCCTTCGTCGTCGCTAGCTGGAACAAATGTTGCCATGCGGAGTTTCGCACAGGAGGCAGTTTCTCTGTCGGCTTCTGTCCTATCCGATCGGCTACAAACTGGCGTAGCTCAGTGAATCTCTTGAGTCGGTCCTCTGAGTTCAAACCACGTGAAGTCTTCGCCGTAGCAGATGTACTTGGGCCGGCTTTTGATGTCTTTTCGACGGACGGTTCAGCAAACATAGCATCGGAAAATGCGTCCTCCTCGCCGCCACTTGGTCCAAAGAGGTCCCCATCATCTATGGCATGACCCTTCTGCTTCTTAAGTGCTGTCATCAAGGCATGTTGTCAGCATACGTTGTAGTGGGCGGGACGAGACGTACCTATTGGGGTCTGGTGTATTTTGCGCGTTAAATGTGCAGTCCGAGAGACAGCGACAGAGGCGTTGGACCTGCATCCCCGCTGGACGTGTCGCAGAATGCTGGCCATTCCGAACCGAGGTCAACTCATGGGCGCTCGAAAAGTCTAGGGTTCGCCACCGGGAGAAAATATAAACAAATAGACTGAGTATTCAAAAGGCGACGAATTTCAACACGCCCCGTTCGTTGTTCGCCGTCCGACTCTTTAGGTGCTCGGTTCTCGGTCATTGGTTTGTGCTCACTCTCGATCGTTTTTATGTTGCATTGTGTGTTCATGTGAGTCTACATCTTTGTTTATTTTCATGATGAATTTTGGATTTCTGCTGTGCACCAGTCAGATTCCTGACGACGTCTACCCTGGCTCTCTATATACGCTTGAGGGCCCTGATCTGTTTTCCTGTGTCGTACGCCTGTGAATATTTGTCTCATGATATCTGCTTGCTAGATCATCAAGAAACATATCTTTCCCTACTTAGGTAGTCGACGTCGTTCAATGTGCTACGCTGCAAATGTTCCTGCCTATAATTGACTGCTTGTCCAGCTTATTTTGTGAGCTTATGACGAGCTTGTGTGTATATATCCCTTCAGAACAATACATTTCTCATCGAGCATCTACCTATGTTCTATACAAACGGCTATGCGAGATGCGAAATTTTCGATGTCCGTCAGACATGTTTGGGTTTGTACTCCTGATGCTTGTATGCGACAAGTTCATCTCATCGTTCCTGAAATTCTGTATCTGGCTCGTGGGTCCTAACATCTTATAATCATACTTACTTGTACATAATGTCTGTCTAGCCTCTGACAGTCGTCGGCATCAGAATATTTTCCTCAGCATTTATGAACCACCTAACGGTCATCAGCGTCTGGTGGTATGTGTCGTAATCGTAAAGGCATCTGGTTTCCTCTATGAGGTTCAGACTTGACAACGGGGCGAGTGACGACGCTTCATCAAGCACAGGAAGTTATTCAATTACACTCAAAAGTATGCAGGAAATGTACTCACTTTACTTTCTTGTCAATTTCAATAGATGGATCTATAGAGAATTCGATATCTCGAAGCAAAGCGAACAGGAAGATTTTGATTCTATCAATATGCTATGGTGAGCAGCAAATATCGGCCTATGCAACTTAAATGACTTACTCGTTAATGGCCAAACGATATCCAATGCACGACCGATTTCCATTTATCGAATTACCATTCCCGAACGTCAGCATATTCCCCCATAATCCTGGGGCGCCCGCCGACTTCTGTCCGCGTCCTGGCTTGCCGTCGTGATCTTGAAATGGTACATCCCGATCTGTCTCGTCCATCCACCGTTCTGGTCGGAACACATCCGCATCCTCTCCCCAGACATGCTTGCTTTTATTGAGCGCTTGGATCGGGATGGTGATAATGTCTCCCTGGTGGACGTGTATGGCGGTGCACTTGCCGCCATAGCGGTCGCGGAATGGCTGTGCGACGGGGATGGCGTCGTCTGTGCTCGCGACGCGCATGGTAGATGTCACCGGCGCATGTAGTCGCAGAGACTCGCGTACCACGCTGTCGAGATACGAGTTGCCGAGTATGGCGTCGAACGTCTCGGGCGTGAGAGTAGTGGCAGAAGGGGGGGGAAGGGGTATGGTTCGTAGATGCATACGAAGTGTCCTCTGAACGTCCAGCGCTCGTGCGAGGGCGTACAATGTCCATGTGATTGCTGTAGAAGTGGTTTCGTGGCCTGCGGCACGTCAGATCATGCACCGGATAGCAAAATGTATATCTTATACCTGCAGTGATAAAAGTGGATATTTGACAGAGCATCTCATTCACCGAAAGTCTCCGGGATGGTTGAGAAGAGTGATTAGAACGAACTGCGGAACGCTGAACTGAGCAGTCATCGCAGAAAGAAATACGAGCAGTGCGCACTTAATATGCTGAGAATATCCCGTCGCTCATTATCGGTTTCGGGGATTTCGACGTCCATTGTTGTTATGAGATCGTGCAGAGGTGGTTTCTCCTTACTGTATTCGGGAGGGCTCTGACTTGCCACAACCATAGATTGCCGCTCTTCAATAAGAGATACACCTATTTTGCGCATAGTATTCTGTGCGCGCTGCATTGTGGCATTCTGTCTTCGCTAAAACATAAGAATCACAACATTTGTCGTCCAAAACTCCTGTAAGTGTTCACATTGACTTACGGGATGATCTGCCACTCACAAAAATCCGCAGGACAGGAAACCACGCTGCTAATACGGTCATCACACGAAACTTGCGCGCCGAGTCAAAAATAACTCCAAATGCTTCGGCAAGCTCGCTTGAATCGTCGGACCCTTGAGCTGCTGCTTCTAGAGAGCGAAAGTCATATCCAAATCCCGCTTCTCCGATGACATCGAGCGTTGCGCGCGCAAGCCATGCTAGGACATCAATCGTCTTTCCGACGTCGTTTAGCGGTAAACTATCAATGAGAGAACGTTGAATTTCAGGACGAGAAGTAATTAAAGGAGACGACGAAGATGAGTCTGGGAGAGCCGTGGAAATGGCTTCAGGTTCGTCCAATTCAATTGGGTTTGGGCCCTTCTGTCTTGGGCTCTTGGGAGATGGATCAGAAGATACGCGGAAGAGACGTGTACTTCGACGCGGTGCGGAACGCTGAGACTGGCGCGTAAAGCATATGTCGACCCAGATAGCTCGAAGCTACCGAAGATAATGTCAATTCAAATATACGACGTAAGGGCTAAGACGGACCTGCACGGCTTTCTCCCAAAAGACAGGACTGAGCGACTTTATGTGGAAGGTTGAAAATGCAGGGTTCTGAGCTATAGTGATTAGCTGAGATACTGAACATCCCCAGATCATTGAAAAGACCTATACGTGGTACGGCTGGTCTTTCACTTCATTCCGGAGCCACAAGCCTTGATAGTGACCGTAAAATCGAGAAGAATAATTGCGCTCCACACATAGTATAGTGCATACACATTGCGCAGGGATCATAGAGATCCGGCCCGAAGTAGCCCGAAAGCGCGGTCACGTAGAGAGCGCGTGATCGTGTCGAGTGGTATCAACGATCGGTCTCAATTTCATCCAGACCCGTTACAGTAGGCATAGAAGCGAAGGAACATTGATATGCACTCACAAGTATATTCCGCTGATTGAGCACCGTTGTGTATTAGTGGCGAAATGTGAGACCGACAGGCGCGATAGCATACCTGCCTCCGGTGGTCATCCCCGTCGACCGTCAAGAGCCCCTCCGGTCCAGAAGCCATCTTAGCTAGAGTCTCTTTGATGAAGTCCGGCTTCGGATAGTCGTAGGCCTTTCCCATGATATACCCCACGGCAACAGGGTCGGTAGTCATCAGCCTCGAGCCTCGCATGAATCCACGGTAGACAAACGTGCTACCATACTGTTTCTCCCATTGTGCGACGAGATCGTTATTCTCCTGGTCATGCATTTCACGGAGATTTCCCATGAAGAGCGAGGTTGAGGGCGGCCCTTGCAAATGGCGCAGGGGCGACCGGAGCTGTCTGATCAATATGCGAAGGAGAGTCGTGACAATGTAGATAGCAACGGAGGCTGGAAGGGCCAAGAACATGATAGTCGAGGATAGCGACATAGTCGCTGCTCCGCGGAAGAGGGGGAAATCTACTGTACTTTGTACGAAGGATGGCGGCGTTGATTCATTTATATTATACTGCCGTCAGTGCAGATGTGCTCACCAAAGTCCGACTCGATGGCGAATTGGATCAGGAATAGAATGCCCAGAGACCGGCTGGGTTCAGGCACGCTTGCCAAATGTTGCGGCGGGCGAAGGCCCAAGAGATCACACGGATATAAGAGGGAAGACACAATAAGGCGGTTCCCCCGGTGCATATGTGGCGAATGGCGACCGGGAACGGGCGTGTAGGGTCGGAATGACGGTGTTCCATGCTTCGTGGGAGAAAGAGAGCATCGCACCCTCGGTCTGCTCGGTGGAGGAGCGCCCGAATGATGGGCTGTTCAGTCTGTACTCCGAGATGGCCACCGCGCTTTCGCGGGATGATCACCGAGATGCCCGCACTCCCCGATTCCGCCATCCAGCGGGATCCTTACAATCTCTTCCAGATTGACGACGGTCGACATATTTCAGTGATCTCGACCATAACACCCGAAGTATACGTTAAGTATCCAACTAGAGCATGGCGACAGCAGGTGTGAGAGAAACAGCTGCTCGTACTCTTCTGACAACACATCAGCTCGTGGACAGTGGACGGGCGCGGCCCATGGTTGCACCGGACAGCACCGCGCGGCGGACACTGAAAGATGTATCCCTAGATCAGGTCTTCCGACTGCAGCAGATAACCACCCCTGCAACGCGCTCCTGTAATGCTTGTGGGTTGAATGTCGAACACCCGGTATACTGTCGGTCACGTAGGGTGCCGATACAGTATCTGATGAATCAACTCTATTCACTAACTCTCACCTTGTTGTGTCTTTGAGAGTGCCAGGAGTGCGTAGCCCATGAGACGCGACAGCCGAGGAGCTCAAAATCTCGGGATCGAATGGAAGGGCCCCCAAGATCTCCCAACGCTCAGATTCCTGTCCGGAATATAAGCTCAGAATTTGAATGACGCTCCCAGCGACCCCGAGATGACCAGCCAGGCGTGCGTCATGATCTGACTCAGTTCGACGCAAATCTGGGAATGCGCTTACGTGCGGGTGTCGCGCACCCCACAGACTCTCGGTTCCGTCGGACGCGCATCTGTGTAAAAAGTCAATCATGCCATTTCGGGATGAAAGTTGCAGCCACACCTTGCACACCTGAGCGTTTGTCACGACGGGCTCATATTACAGCGGTTGATCCTGCTGATGGAGCTACTGGTCGACGACGCCATATTTGGAGGAAGGCGGATGCAAAAGTTAATGAAAAACTGATCTGTGTCTCGTACGGGCCGGCTTTTGACTGGTCTATTCAGTATAGCATTTTCTCCTTCAGTTCTGATGTGGGCGGACTTCGATCGTACTGCCAAGGGCCGAGATCACCGCATTCTGGTGCACAATCCTTGATGAAAAATAAAGCTCATGGGCTCGTGCCAGCCTGTTACGGTGAATCTAGAAAGGTGCCGAGTGGGTCATCTACTCTATTTTCGTACATTGCTCTGTCCCTGATGGCAAAGACTTCACAGCTTGCTCTTGACAACCGTCGACAACTTCCCATCTGCTTGCAGTTGCTTCGCATGGTCCCTCAAGAATCGACGGAGCAGCTTTCCGCTCGGGTTCTTTGGGATAGTTTCGACGAATTCCACGCCGCCGGCAAGATGCTTGTAGTTCACCTTCACGTCGGCCACATGCTACCATAGGGACCGATAATGAGTCTCCAGTTCTGCGATGATCGTATCTCCCATTTACCTTCATGAGCGCCGCCTTGATTCTCCCGCCCTCGCTAGGCTCGCTCTTCATCCGCTCTATAGCACTCGCGGTTGGCACAACGAAAGCGAGAGGGGCTTCCCCGCTATACTCATCTGGGATACCGACCACACAGACATCGGATACGTCGGGGTGATCAAGCAGGTGGCCCTCGAGCTCGGCAGGTGCAACTACATAGCGTTGCTTGTCAATTGCCTACCAACACGTCTTGCAACCAGCTCACCTTGATAACCCTTCACCTTCATGAGTTCCTAGGAATCCGAGATAGTCACTTTCAACCATACAAACAAAGCATTGAAACTTACCTTGATACGATCGACGACGAAGACCTCGGCCTGTTCGTTGATAATGACCTCGTCGCCGGTGTAGACCCATCTAGCATAGCCAGCTTAGGGCGGCCCAACGCTTGGTCTTGTACAATTAACCTACCCATCTACGAACGTCTCGCTGGTCCTGGTGAATACAATTTGAGAAGCCTCTTTATTATTGACGAAGCCAGCACTCACGCCTGTTCGTTGTTCAAATAATGCAGAGCATTTCCCGGGCTCTTAACCACCAACTGACCAGGCTGGCCATATCCCAACAGTTTGCCATCAGGGTCAATGACACGCGCCACAACACCAGGGAGGAGCCGGCCAGCGCTACCAGGCGTCCCAATCTTCTGCTCAACTTGTGGGAAGGTGACAGTCGTGCAGGTCTCAGTCATGCCTGTCCGGAACCATGACTAGGTGAGCTCATGGTGACGTGCTCGATACAACCACTACTAACCGTACGACTGGCCGATGCTCATTGCAGGCAGAGTTTCGCTAAGCTGCTTTATGATTTCTGCGGTTAAGGGTGCGGCCCCGCTCTTCATCGCACGCAGGGAACTCAGGTCGTATTGCTTCACAGCAGGATGCTTAAGACCATGACGTTACTATTTCCACTCGACACGCGTGTAGAATTCGCTACCTTGCAGAGCAATACCACTATCGGAGGGACTACACTATAAGCGTCTGTTAGTGAGATAAAATGCGTGAATAGACGTTGTGCACGTACGGGATGTAGTTAATACGATGACGTTCGATGCTCTTTAACATGTCCACAAAGTTGAATTTTGGAATAACGACGAGTGTCATCTACATATGACTGTCAACAAGGTGTCACGAAATCTCATACCCACACTCACGCCATAAAAGATTGCAAAATGCATCACGACGACAAGCCCGTAGATATCTGACCGTATACATCAACCTGACAGCACCATCGCAGCAACAGTGAAATTTACGATAAAAAGGAAGAACTTGATCGTGTCAGGGTATGACAAAACATTACTTATCGATCACTCACGCGCCATGCCAATATCCCCTGGTCGATATGGCCTACTCGCCAAAGGCTGAGGCTGAGAATTAGCTCGATGAGCCATTTGTATAACATTCGCGATCGGTGAGTGATGAGGTATGCATACAGCCTGTGAAAGGAATGATATCAGCGGCAATGCTCTCAGTTCCGCATTTTCTGTCTTTACCTTGGGTCTTCCTGTAGTCCCGCTGGAAAGACTGAGGAATGCCAGCTTCGTCTTACCTTCCCCTCGCCTCAGCCGTCTCTCAATGAACGTTGGCGACATACGCAAGCCTTCTATCACTAGATCACTCAAATTGGGGAACTGACGAGCTCCAGTGACCGAAGTATCGTCGAATAGCACGATAAACTCTGAAGATATCCCTACTTTATGTGCAGCCTCTAGAGCGACTGAGAGGCTAAACGGATGCGTGATAATTGCCCTGGCCTTAGTAATGGACAGTTGGTATTCCAATTCGTTCGCGGTGAAGGAAGGATTGGACGTGCTGAGGGAAGATGAGTAAACGTTCCTTCCTCCTGAATAAGGAAACTCACGTCACGATTGCTCCGAGTCGATGTAAGGCCCTGGGTTATACTATGAGGCTATACGAAGGACACACACGACAAATAGTTTTACCATATTGCGACAGGATAATCTTCCATGAATAATGGGAGAATCAGCCGACGGAGAATGACGAACGAGCAGTGAAAGATAACGGACCGACATGATTGGGGCTGAATATGCAAACTATAGTGGCTCAGTCTGTGGCAGCTCAGCAGCCCGCGCAAACACTCACCTACATCCTCCTCCTCTATACACAGATCATGAGCCACCAGATGGATTGTCGAGTGAGGAGCTTACCTACCCAATTTCCACCGAAACCTGAGGGAGTTTGCCAGCCCAAATACACGATTGCGGATCTACTTTCACGTATCAGCCCGTGAGCAGACCGGAGCTTTGACCCAGAGACGTACTTCATCCAAGGCGATTTTCCTTCCAGTAGCGTCCTCAATTAGCCAAGTATACGGCGGTGGTACGATCGGTCTTGAGACATGTCGCTCATCTAGCATGAATTGGACAAGGGTCAGGTCATCTGGGACAGGGGGAAGAGGTCCACCGGGGCCTAAGATTTCAGTCATTTGGCACGAGAGTGACACACGGGTCGCAAAGTATAGCGGGAATGGGGGGCTCGGGTGGTCGAGCTTTAATATGACTCGGCATAGCCCTTATAACGTGAAACCTGTGCCAGAAATGAGGCATACTTCAGAAAGGTCAGCTGGCCTCGGTTAGATAATAACAGGCCATATTGATTGTGTCCGAATCATCCTCGCGGTCTTTTGCTTGGGTTCGAGCGCGTACGACGGTTGCTTCACCGAATAAGTAGCTAGTCTCCGGACTACGAGAGAACAGAGACGGTCGATCGGCAGAAGAACGCTATCATGACAATTTGTGGAAGCTCTGGAGGGCCCGCAGATGAAGCGCGGCTGTGGCGCGAAAAGCTGCATCATAAATAGTCCGCAATTCAACGATCGTGAGTTTCACTAGGTGTGTCTCCACAGTCTAGGCAAAAACACCACGTTATGTGTATACAATACGTGGGCGTGAGGGCTCATCAGGATATCATTTATTGAGGTAGTAAAAGCTAAGGAGAGTAGCCTATCGACGTTGGGTTAATGTACGAGCCCGGTAGTACTATACTACTGCACTACTATCTATACACACAGCGTCGTACATATTTGGATATTGACCTTCCGCACCAACAGAGATGGCGAGACTACATGGCGAGACTACCTTGGGACTGCTACGTTAATTGTCTAATTCCTTGACGGCATCTTCAGCACCTGATCAGCACCTGCTCACTGTTATGGACGGCAGGTACAAGGACTTCTGATCTCGTCAAGACGGGCGGTTCAATACGGACGTTACGAAGCGCAGTCCTGTGCGCACAATTGGAAGTTGAGCCCTCCAGTCCCTGTCCGCGAGCAAGCAGAATGCGCAGAGGGATAACGACCCACCTATCGCTGCACTCCGGGCCCTCTGATCTTTTGGGGTCGTTTCTCTTGCGCGTCCCGTCCGCGCTCTTGCAGCCCTTTGGCCAGCGGCTGGTGTACAGATCCCCGAAGACTTTCCCTCCATCTTTTCATACCTGGATGGGGTGGGGGTTGAAGCTTGTTGGTGTGTGGGATAGCGAGAACGTGTGGGAAGGTAAGCTAAGAACCTGCGAGGATAAATAGAGCACATGGACGTCGCACGCGTTGAACGAAGCTGAAAAGTTCCTGCCATGCGCGCCGACACGCAAAGTTGGTCGGTAAATCAGAAGGGCAATGTTCAGCATCAGCACAAGTCAAGCATTCATACTTTGCATCATGCAACCACCGTCGGGAGCAGTTTGAATTGCAGGAGGCTGAGAGGTATGATCTTTCAGCAAATGGTGAACGGTGTGGCTGGTGTACATACTCAGTCAACTTCCCTTCTTTAAGATGGTCTTCGAACGGCATCGATACTTGCACTTGCGGCATTATTAGGGCTTACCGCGTTGCTATCATACTGTGGCTCTCTCAACAAGCCTTCGGAGCTCAGAAGCGTTGAGGGGGTTGTGGACCAGCGTGTCGGTCGTTTGCCTGGTAGGTGGGACGTTTGACTTCGACAGCTAGCCTTTTTGACATGACATCGCAGTGATGGGGTATAACAGTAAGGTCGACTACCATTGTGTATGAGTCTCGCGCTGAACAATGAATTGTGGTCCCAGCCTGGAATGCATATCACGCAAGTATGCGTGGATTTATATGATGTTGAGCTTACCTCCTATATTGGCAGTGTGACATCAACGAGGGCATCATTCTCGAAACTGCACATCTCATGAAGTCTCTCGGTCTGGCAGTAAGTAGGCACCTCGTCAGAATGTTTAAGGTTCAGTTTTACTGATCCCCATCAGGACATTGGGTACAACTACATCAATATCGATGGCTGTTATTCCGAGAAAAACCGGAGTGAATCAGGGGACATCGTTGCTGGTAAATTACTTTGACTTCTTATACTGAGAATATCCCTAACAAGGGATTAGATCATGTCCGCTTTCCGTCTGGAATGCATAACTTAACGACTCAGATCCATAACCTAGGATTGTACGTACACCACTGTTCTATCCAGCGGTCTTACTGAGTAAAGTATCATTTTAGAAAGACCGGAATTGTGAGAGCTGTCACTTGCCTCTGTTTGTACTTAAGCTCGACAATATTTCAGTATAGCGACTCGGGTTGGTTCACCTGTCAACTGTACCCCGGCTCGTTCCAAAACGAAGAAAGGTTGGTATTCATACGTACCTCATGCGAGCATGAATGACAACGATCAAACTACTTCATAACATAGAGATGCCAAGTTGTTCCAAGACTGGGGATTCGATCTCCTGAAGTGAGCTTCAATCGTCTCGTAATCGGCTGTGGCTTATTTAAATATACGTAGATACGACAATTGTGCCAGTGAGTTTGGTTAGTCTCCTAAGATACACATTCCTGATGCATCATGTTCAGTTCCTTTCGATGAAATTCTCAAGGAAGGCATCGTTGGAAGTGAGTCTGTCTCATGCGTCCCTCCTCTCTTCTAGTCGCTTACTTCAGCTCAGAGTACAAACGTATGGCTGATGCAATTGCTGATCTCACCAAAACGTCCGGGAGAGCACCATTCGTCTTCTCTCTGTGTGAATGGGGAGAGGTTCGGATCCAAAGGACAAGCTCACAATCAGAAAGCTGATTTTGCAATTCAGGAACAACCGTGGTTATGGGCTAGACGTTACGGTCAGAGCTGGAGGGTAAGTCCTCAGCAATGCCAAAGCTTGTTAATCAACTGATTGACTTGCCTATTAATTATAGACAACAGGGGACATTGGTGCGCATAATCATTTCACTGACTGCCCGACTAGCCCTGAATGATTCCAGAACCCAACTGGCGCTCTGTTATGAGTATTTTGAACCAGTACGAGCATATTCAGTGTTGGCAAATAGTTCGCTGACCGCTAATTCAGGAATTCATTTATTACATGGGCTTCGGACTTTTATGGGCACAATGATTTGGATATAGTGCGTTGTATTACTGCATTTTGTAAAGTGTCACAGAGGGTTGAACTTCTACGAAACACTGCAGCTGGAAGTGTGCGTAATTTCCTCTGTTTAATGATGAGAAAATCTAACATCTAAATAGTGGAAATGGTGATTTGACTTATGATGAAGCCAAATCGCATTTTACGGCTTGGGCCCTGTTGAAATCGCCTTTGCTCATCAGCACTGACGTTAGTCTTGTTATTTGTATAATGTCTGAACGCTTCATTTATTGTGACCTCCAGCTGCCGACTGTGACTGACGAAACTCTCGAAATACTATCCAACAGAGAACTCATTGCAATCAACCAGGATCAAGTTATTGGCACAAGCATCAGCCCATTCCGGTGGGGCGTGAACGTGGGTACACGGAGAATTTTGTTCTATGAAGGAAACACTCATACTAGCCACTTGGTCCTCCAAGCCCGATTGGACGAGCAACTCTACTCATCCCGCACAATATTGGAGCGGGGAGAGTGAGAACGGGACAGTTATTATGCTGGTGAGCATCTCAGGACAGTTGCTTTTCTAAACTTTTCCAACATACCCTGTACTGCCGGGAATAGCTCAACACCTTGGATGAGCCAGCTGATATGTTCTTCAATCTGACCGAATCACCGTGGATAAGGGCCGGCCGGCAATACTCAGTGCGCGTGAGTATTTGTCACATATCCTAAGTCTCCGAGTGCGACAATGACCTTCGCCACGCTTAATGCAGGATCTGTGGACACACACAGATAATGGGACGGCTGCCCGGAACTTTACTGCTCATGAGGTGCCCCCACACGGTGTCGTTGCATTGCTCCTGCAAGATGCAGGCGACGAACCGATTGGCATATATCCACCTTGTGCCCGGACGTGGTGGTGTATGAGCGAAAACGGAACGAAGTACTACGATGAATGAAATGAGAGGTCGATGACTCAGTGGAGAAAGTTCTGGAAGAGCGTCTGTAAGTTAGGAAGGCACGGAAAGTGTGGATGCTATCGGAATCTCGGATTGATTGTTTTGAAGCACGACTAGCGCATTGTGCAATGAGTCGAACCTGTAGGAGCATGATTTCAAGTTGGAAGAAAGCTGATCCGTTCATCACACCTCCGACGCGACAGACACAAGCCTGAGCATAAGTATAAGACGAACACTATAAAAAGCCATTACATAGGAATCGTCACCGGAGTTGATAGTAATCAATCGGACTGTCAGTAAGCTAGTGCGTCTAGCAGGAGCTAGTCAAATTGTTTTTTCATGAAGTCCACTTCACATTCTACCGGACTACCGCGGATCGAAACACTGCGATCAATATCCTAATGCAATAATACTTTAGCCAATAATCACTATAGACTCATGTCGATCCGTGTCTAAGCCTGTGTATATACTTTCTTTGTAAGTCTTCCTCCTGACAATATTAACCGGTGTCATGCCTGCAGCTCTAAGGTTCTCTATTGTTGGGTCCTCCACACGTCCAACGATCTCTCGCAGCTCGTACTGCTCTGAAATGAGCCAAGCAAGGTCAAGGATACCAGATGATTGCACAACAATGTCGTCGTGCTTGCCACGAGTTAATGGAATTGATAGGATCAACAGCACAAAAGATGTCGCAAGTCCTATCGAGATCTTGTGCAACATTCAGTAGATAATTAAACGCGAAAACCAGCTGGAATGATAGACGTACTTGTAGGATGTTTAGCTGTTCAGTGAGCGGTGTCCGTCAGGGTATGGCGTTATCAATTGAAAGGCGCTGACTCACATTCAGACGTGCTGCCAATTGAGCAACAACTACATTCCCATTGTCCACACTGAAGAGACCCATATTGGAAGCCTCGTCAGCTAAGTTCAGTTGTTGCATGCTCAGTTGGTAGCTTCGCATACTTGGTAGAACACTAGCTTCTATAAAATCAGCACATTCAGACACAACGTCGCAGCTTGAATCTAGACTTGACGTACCTGCCCAGTATAATGACGCCGTGAGGTTTGCTAATCAGATGTGTAGCATTTCATAATCAGACTAAGAGCCAGCCTCACATAGGTGACCGTTGTGCACATACCCAACGCATTTTCGAACTGATCTAGAGTGACCGTTGTCTGTATAGGGGAACCCGGAAACAGATCAAACGATTCCATGAGATTCCTGTTGTTCTTCCGTTAGGGTCGCTATATCGGAGATTGCTTGAAACACCAAACTGCTCAACAATGTCAGGCGAATAGTTGGTTTCACCGCCGACGAAGAAGAATTCTTGCCCTTCAAATGTGTTCAAACCCTGCCACTGTGGCGCATTATTGAGCATGGCTGCCCACTTGAATATCGGAAAATATGTGTCAGTCAAAACGGAACCATTATCAGACAAGTGCGCGCTTTACTAGGTCGATATGCTGATTCGCAAGGCTAAGGTTGAATGGATTCGAAAACCCCTGCCATGATACACAGTCGCCATGTGGCTTGGTTGGTTCCCATGGATTCCATATTGAAGATGATTTGGTGCTGTCCGGCTTTAAATTGACTAGCTTGTTGGTTTGTACATCGACGAACGCTGTCCGTTGGGACCACGACAGAGTACACCCTATAAGGCTGATCTCATAATTCAATGTTGTATTGGAGATCACTAGACGGTACACGATGGTAAATATGTCCATCCCAAGCTTAGCACTACTCACGGGGATACTCCTTAGGAAAATTGACCGCGCTTTTTAAAGCTCCATTACTGTCTGAGACGTTAGTTGACACGGCAAATAGGATGTCGCGCCCTTGCGGACAATTCTATGATATAATAGTGAGCTGTGAAGATGGAGAACCTCGCAAAATACAAACCATTGAGACGCCGCTTCCTCCCAAATCCCAGCCCGATGACAATTGCATGACAGTATTGTCCACTAGAGGTACTAGGTCATCCCAAATAAGACTGAAGTATGCGGGGTATGCTCCTTACACATCTGCGAGAATTCGAATGATACGTTGTACGAATCATATACAGCTTCCACAATCCATGAATTAGCCACAGTCCCAAACTTTGTTGTGTTTACTAAGCTGTTCTTGGCGGCCTGAATAGTTGCATTGGGTAGAAATCCACATGTTACGTTGGCGGATGTTGCATTTGTTTGAATCTCTCCGACTCCGTTGTTCTTCGCCAAAACATCGTAAAGTGTGTTGTTGAAGAGCCCTGGTGTCGATTGGCCACGTGCACTTACGATATATGGCACAAGTTCATAAACTAATGGCCAAGCATACACTCTAATGTTGTTCAAGGTTTGCCTAATACAAAGAAGTCAATTAGGTTTTAAGTAGGCTGTGTCTTCGAACATACTGGTCAGATACGTTTCCCAATACCGTGGGCATGCTCCCAGTTGTATTCACCGTTAGAGTGCTATTATTGAAAGGCTGCATCGAGAACAAGGACGGCGTGGTTGCATGCAGAACAGTGAAGCAGGAGAGGTATGTAATGACTTCTGGCGTTCCCAGTCCCACAGAGACTGATCGAAGCTGTCTCCAGAGGGTGAGGGACGCTGATCCGAATCCATTCCACGCGCTCCATTCGTCATGAGACGCAGTGAGTGCCTGGTAAGTGCAGAGGATTCTCCTGGCGGCTAGTCTTTGAGTTAGAAACAATAATAACGCTGTGTAAAGCTGACAGACACTTTTTTGTCAGTATCTTCATTCTCGAAGACTCCAAACTCACCAACATGCATATCTGTACGCTCACACTGACATAATCAGATACTCTGCTGCTATCCGTCAATGAGACGACGACGACATGTTCTGCATGTCGGCACCAAACGACAAGCAAGCTGATGTGGAATAAGAACAACAGCGCATGAAGTACAACGCTATTCAAACGTGAGGAGCAATAATCCTTCAAGTCGAGGAGACTCGGACGCATAGATAGAACGGAGGAAGCAGGATTAGGCGGCGTGCGCGAAAGTGCTCTAAAGGTTCTACATAAGTAGCATAATGAGCATTAGCCCAAGGTGTAGCAAAACAAATTATCAGGCAGGGGGCGCACCATCTGTCACTACGTAGGCAAGCTGTCATGATTGTTCTCTAATCTGTCGTGTTCTTGATTGAAACAAGCTCTTTTTGGCGAAGTCATTCTCTTGTCCATATCGACATCAAACACGAGGGGCACTCCCTAGGCCTGAGCCTGATGTCATATTTCAATCTTGGATCTCCCTGGCTTTTGACTCAGAATTTTCTGTATCGCGATCTCCAAATGCAACACTCCAGTATCCAAGCGACAATCGAATAGTCACTGGATTAGATTGAGAGATACTAGGAAATTTTAAAAGTCCAGTTCAACAGCCTGGCGCTGCGCCTGTACCGATCAGTCATGGACAGCGCGCGCTGATGCTTAATAATGATCCGTAATCATGAGCGTCCGCGTTCCCAAATCCCACAGCTTGACAGGTTCACAGATCAATGGCACGTATAGTATGACCATCGCGACAATGACGCACCTTGACAGTCTCTTCTCCTGCCTCTCGCCGGCTGCAAAACCCGTCACCCTCCGCTGGGTGCGAAGCCGATCATGAAGAGCCCCTTCATGCAGTCTGGAGTGGTTTTCAATTGAGTTCTATCATTCAAGAAGTGGCCGACTGGTGAGAAGGGACTTTCCCTCGAGTCCGAGGCTTCGCCGTCCGACCCGGGTCACATGAGTCCGCGGCCCGCCTTATTAATTTCAGCAATTATTATAGTAATAAGACAGATGTTCAGATTAATAGCCCTTTGCATAAACCCAATTCGGGGTGATATCCGGGTAGCGAATTGATATGTGCATTTGACTCGCTCTAGAGTTCATATACATATCCCAGTGAAAATTGATATGAATTAAAACCAGAAACTGTGTCATTCAATAAGAGAAAATGAGATAGATTCAAGTGGCATGAATTACATAATTCAGCCGTCTCTCCATGTACCCAACGCAACTCATCGAATGACCTAGTTTCCCGATTGATAGTTGTAATTTCCCACTGGGAACATCAATGTTCATACCCTCAGCTTCGACTTCTGCCAGTGGCATAATATGAAGCGAAGCATCCAGCTCGTGCAATACGAAAGCTCCGAAGACGAACAAGATGAGCATCTATGCATGATCAAAAAGAGGTGAAAGTAACAGTGTTGAGCATGATATGTTCTGAGTTCGCAATTTTGCTGACCGATCTACACAGGAGACTACCCTCGGTTCCAGCTGCACTCCTGCCACAAGCTCCCCCGGATAATCTTACTCTTCACCAAGGGCGCACTCGTACAACTCCTCATGTTGAGGGACAGTTCGCAACCTACGTCTATGTCCCTCTGGTTGTGGACCGCCAATCGTGTCTGTATAGTCTTTTGTTAAAGGCCCTTGCATCAGCGAGAACACTCGTTTCTTGTATTCATGCAATCGGATTTCAGAATGTTCCGCCGCTAACCTCCTGCTCTGCTGATCGCGGCGCCAAGCCTACGCGTTCCGATGAACAGATCATTGAATTGCACATCTCTCTCTCAAGGCCGACATACCTCCGTGCACATCAACGAGAGGATTTGAAACGTGTGGTCAGAGATATTGCCAACTCGCATGCACCGTCCGTGTCTTTGCATCTATTTTGAATTTATGGTCGATTCATAAAAGATGATAATTTAATGCTTGCAGATTTACTGCATCTTTTACAACGTTCACAGAATTGATGAATGATGAGCGTACACGGACTTTTCTCGCACTAGAAGTTGGTGCTGGACACGCTGAGGTATGCCTCCAATATTGCTGATTACGCTGTTGGCCGATAGTTTTGAAGTTCAAACGACTCACCGATGCGCTGACTCCCATGCTGCGGACGATACGGCAGAAGGAATTCTACGCTGATGCGCGATTTCACGCATCTATAGCTTGGGCTCTCCTGGATAAAACAATTTCTATTGGTTCGCCAAGTTCACAGGCCACATCATCTTACCCGGAACAGTCTGCTGAGCCGGAAGATGAGACTACTTCACCTTCCAGCCCTATACCGCCGAACGGCACATCCGGCTTTTCCAGCATACCCCATTTCCCGCCCTCCCTGGTACCATCACTAAATCGTGATTATGCCAACACGCTTGCGACTCGGCACGTGGGCACATTTGAAGCACGAGAGGTGTGTTTGCGGATAGGGAAAAATGTCAGCAAGTGGACATTTAGAGGATAGTCATCGATGCCCCTCCAAGATACTATACCGAGCTACGCTACTGTAGCGCATCACTCGTCTTCTTTAAAAATTATGCTGCCTCTATGTAGTGGCTCTCTCAATCATCTATAATCCCGGCTGGGCATGTTCCATTGCATGCGGTTATGCCGTGCCCAGTGTATGAAACAGCAGAGATCAAATATTGGTGAGTCGGTAAGTACTTACGTTGTGATTTTCGCAGTATACTTGATCTTACTGAGTTGTAGCTCTTAGAGCCTCATTGCTATTATTTACCCGAGCATGAAGTGTATAACCTGAAGCTACTTGGTGCGTTTTGCACTGGCAAACAGCTGGACGATTGCTTTTAGGATCTCAAATAATCGTGATGTCTTTCCAAGAATATTCAAACATTCATGCCGACAAGCGATTCTCATGGACGCCCGATGCGCAATGCATGCATATTGACTGCACCTAATAGTATCATGTACAGAATATTGTCAGAATTTATTCACTGTTGACATGGAGGCTGGGAAGTCAGTTCATAAGCAAATAGCTTTCCGACGAGTCGAATCGTCACGTAGGGCTGATTATGCCGCGAACAAGGTGGCGTGACCGAGTAGTAACGTGTCGTGACATCCCTCTGTCCTGTGGCGCTTGCCTCTCTCATAGCAAACGACAGCGGCCTCTTTCCTCCCTCCCTGACCGCCGCATCAACGGCACCTTCCAAATTCCTCTATCCTTTCTTATCGTTCGACTACATGGGTCAAGCAAACTCCAGAACCCGGCCACCAACTTCACCGCCTCCCAGGCAAGACACCGCTCAGCCTAGCTCCAACTCTAGTACCAGCAGTACCACCCCGGCATCATCTCAAAGACTAGCATCAGAAGGGAGAAAACGTTCTCGTCGTTCGTCATTGCGCCACAGCCTCCTGAGTTTGATCCCCCATTCACAACACTCTGCATCCTACCGCAATGATTCGACATCTGACCCGAATGGCAGCTTAGAACAGACTCCGAAGAAACGGTGGCGATATTCCCGTCGATGGTCAAAGGCACCGTCCTCTCTGCCCTCTCAGATGCCGGACATGGAATCAGCCAGTGCGTCCTCAACTGCAGCAAGGAGTACGACGGGGTCGAGCGCAGCTGTCGATATAGCCGACACGGGTGGTACGCAGTCCGATACCCCGGACATTATTCCGCCTCCAGGGTTTCAGATTGAAGCAAGTGCATTAGAGGACGAGGTTATGGCCGAAGATGGGTCTGGTCCATCTGAGCGTTTGAGCAAAACCCCAGATGTAGACTCTGATGCCACCGCTGACACCGCCATCACAACTGAAGCCGAAGATGCTGAGCCTGCAACCGACGATGCCGATGATTCCACACAACAGATAAACCCACAGGCTGAACCGCTTCGCGTGGTCGAACCGGAGTCAGCTCCGCATCCAGCTCGCCCTAACCCATTCCCGCCTCCAGGAACAATGGTCGTTGTGCAAGGTGTCGTTAACACGTCTGATACGCCTCCGCCTGTACCTGCTCCATCCACAACACGGTCGACTACATCTGGGTCGGCATTGAGCACGCAGTTTGGAGCGCCTCCCTGGCGTTCGGCCTCGGCATCCGCGCCGGGTCCGTTGTCGCGCGATGGGGACCGCTTGGGTGCTCGAAGTCGGCTTACGTCGCTGATGAATCGCTCTCGCCCATCGTCAGACGTTCGTGCATCTACCGAGACCTCTAGCCGGCATTCCAGGATGTCGTCGGATGTGTCATCCAGTACCGATGATGATACAACTTTTGGTGAGGAAGGCTCAGTGGAGAATGAAGAGTCATCTAGGCCTGAAGACGATGAGCGTTCCCGGCCTCTTTCGCCCGGGAGCATTGACATTTTGGGAACGCTCCTCAGGTACGTGGTGTTTTGCGTGTTATAGGAGCTTCTAACGCGTGTGTGACAGTGTCGCGGCTGCAGCTACTGCGGCTTCACTTCTCGCACCTCGATTTGTTACACCTGGCTCAGAGTCTGGCGAAACAAACGCCACTGATTCTAATCGCCCAATGTCGCCCACTCCCACTGCTGGTCTAGGTAACTTCGCCAATCTGGGTGCCCTAACAGGTATGGGATTGGATTCCATGGGATTTGGCTCTGGTCAGCCACAAGGGCAGACTGGCCCCCGAGATGGACGGGATCGTGTCCGAAACGCCTTAGCCGGCGTACGCGATCGTCTTGGATTCCATGCGCGCAACTCCCCGTTGACGGGTTTGAATAATTCCCAGCAGGGGGAGAATCCCAATGAGCCTCAAATACGGCCTGGCGAATTCATGTTGGCTGAGATGACACGCGCCTTAAACGTTGGGCTGGGATTGCACACCGACAGGATCGCTTCTGCCACCGGAGTGACTGAACAGACAATTCATACTGGTAACGATGTGCCTCCTAATCCACCTCTCGATCCGACAGTCCGGCGTCCACAAGCCGATGGGGCGGGTCCATCAGAAGGGAGCTTTGAGAGGTTTTTGTTGAATTTGCAAGCAGACCTCAGGATCGCCTTATCGGAGGGCGGTACGACTTCAAACAGTGAACAGAACAGCGCACCTTCCTCGGCATCAGTTGATCAGGATCCTTCCGGACCAACTGCAGAGCCTTTAGCCAGTGAAGGAGTGACAACCGCTCGAGAAGTCGTTCCCGCGGTTATGCAAGCCGAACACGACGAATTTGACATTTACAATCTCCCCCCTCTTCCAGATACCTCTGATTCTGAGCTCGAACTTGACGAGGATGAAGATTTGCACGAAGGCGATACTACTAGCGATGAGCCCCCTTCGCCACGTATTCCGACGCCAATGCCCGGTGCATTCCCATTTGGTCAAGACGCCGGACTAATGCATGCCGGGGAACGAAGACCACCAGGCGTTAATCTTTGGAGGGTGTTTCGATTTCACCCTATTCCAGCATCACAGACGCAGGAGCATGCGGCTAGCACGAGCACCGAGACTCGTGGTGAGCCCCCCACAGACACTGCTCCTGCTGATGAATCTGACAGCCCTACCACCCCCACATCGACCCCACCATCTCCCTTGCTCGAAACCTCACAAGAAGTTCCATCGGACGAGTCTGAGTCTATACCGACACCTCCCACTACGACCCGTTCTCCTGCACCGAACGTCATTGTGCCAGTCATTGTAGTTGGTCTACAGTCGGTTGACATGGCGCACACGCGGAATCCGCCTCACGATGTTCCGAATTTTGCGCCTCCAGAAGACGAACCACATCCACTAGATAATAATTTTATGTCGAGTACTGGCGAGACGGTGACGGACAGCGGCACCGCACCTCAACCTCGTGGGCGAACATGGCAATCGCGTGCAGCGAATGCATTCAGGACGCTGCGTCCTGGGCGACGTGCAAGTCCGCGCAACACACAGGCTGCTGATGCCGTCGGAGCGAGAACGTTCCTGATTTATGTCATTGGAGGTACGATTGTCGTTCACTGGTTTCAGTGGCTGCGTGGCTGATTGACACACAGGATACTACCCGCCAGATCACCATATGGTAACCGGCTCTGGAAGTCTTGACTCTTATGAAGCTTTGTGGTACGCTTAGCTTTAGCAACGATGCCTGGTTTCGTGATTGACACTCGTTCCAGGGAGCTTGCGGAACTGCTTGGGCAGGTTAAACCTCCCGTGGCCACTCAGGAGGATATCGACAATTCTGGGCTGCAGATCATCAAATCTACAGAAATTGCGCATTATGAGATGGAGGGTAGACTTGCGTCTAACTGCGTCGATCGGGTTCGTAGTCTTAGGGCCGTTGAGTTGTGAAAAAAGTGCTCACATGGTCTACTAGTGTCTCATATGCCTGGACGAGTATGGAGCCGAAGATGAGGTGCGGTTGATGTCCTGTAGGCATGGCTTCCACAAGGATTGCGTGGACAAGTGGTTACAGGTTGGACGGAACAACTGTCCTGCATGCCGTACGAAGGTACGTACAGCCTACGAGTTAGAGATTAAATATTCACCAATGATCAATTGATTATATCATTGTACAGGGTGTATCTATCGCAAGTGATTCTAGTTCTTGAACTGTCCTCAGCATAGGAGGGTAGTTGTCGAAAATTTGTCTGACTGCATCGCGCTCATTTTCATCTCTCTCTTTCTCTCTGAACAATCTACTGCGTATCGGCTGATTATTCCACATTCTTTCCTTGATCTGTCTTGTGTTGTTCTTCATACATATCTGCGCCCACGTGTATCTGTATAGCATAAAAGGTATCTGCTTCTCCATATTCATATCGATGGAGCCCGCTGTAAGGTTGGCAGAAGTAATGTTATTGAGTAATTACTCCTACAATTTCTATGTCCTGCACGCCGTTGCCTCCCTCCTTCACCAGTTTTATTTCAATTTCCTAAGTCAGGATATGAGAATGTTCGGATCCATGCGGGTTCAGTTCCATCTAGCTCACAGTTCGCGGATCTTGGTGTGATACGATTTGCAGCCGTACTGCTCTTCCTGTGCCGTATAGCAGAACCAAAGCGATACGGACCGCAGACATTTAATCTGGGTAGACCACGATGGCGACGTTCCGACTACTTCCGATATTTTGGTCAAAGAGGTTCATCAGTTGTACTTTCATATTTGATCCCTAGAAGTCCCCTTTGTGAATCGCATCGGGATACGTGGACTACGACTTACCTGCAGCTCTTCATTCAGCCACTGTTCCCGATCTAAGAGGATGAGGCTTTCGATGACCGGCCCGAGCACACATCTCAAGACATGCAAAACCTCCAATCGGCTCTCCATGACTCTATCGCGCGGTGCATTACCGTAATCAACTCCGAGCTTTTGGCCGGCAAGGCGTAGGAACGTCTCCCAATCTGCGTAGGCGGCGTCGTTCAGTCTACCT